TAAAGTTTGTCTAAAGCAGAGATAAAATCAGTCAGCGCAGTCGTCCCTTCAGAGTAAAAACGACATTTTGTGTCTGCCGGTTTTGTTTACGTGCGGGAGTTCATTAGCATTTTCCCGCATGTGAATTCTGACCAATCAATAAGCAGTTTAGGAAATATGTTCAACAACATCTGGCCAATGAGAGATGTGGATTTTGTCAGATGACTGCATTTTGGTTTGTTTCAACTGTTTCGGACCAAAGCCAGCAGTGTGGTGTAAAAGCGACCCAAAGATGGCAGAAAATGCAACACTGTATCATTTATTGGCCTTGTTCCGGACCAAATGAAGCGAACTACAGATGTGAAAGCACCCTCAAAGATCTGAGTGAGTAAAATGATCCGAACTTCCCATCACTAATGTTTTCATTCACTTAGTGCTGTGTTACACACTGCATGGAAGCTCATTTTCAAAAAACCCATAATAGGGGCTCTTTAAAACTATTATGTTTAGAAATGTGTTGAACAAAATCGTCTTTCTGTTAAACAGAAATTGAGGGCAAAATATACGGGGGCTAATAATTCAGGAGGGCTAATTATTCTGACTTCGACTGTATATGTGCATAATAAAACAGCGATCTGCAGTGTATAATTAAATCTAAATCTCCACAATGCATAGGTTAAACGCAAAATAAATAAGTACTCTGTGTTTTTGTGTTGGTCTGTGTGTTTCTGTCTGTTAGTGTGGGTGGTTTGTTCACAGTCCTGATGGAAAGTGGGATTGTCATGCTTTCTAATTTTGGTCTTTTGGGAGAAAAGAGTGTCAGATGCGACACAAAGCTGCAATTACACACACACAGATGATCCACACACACACTACCAGTGGCCTACGTTTGTCTGGAGGACCATAAGATCATTGCCTGCTGTTTAATATGACCATTACAGCCTCGCTGGGATGAAAATCAGAGCTAAAACGCAGTGTTTTTTTCAGAAATGTTGAAATGTTTGTTTGTAAAGATCTGCAAGTGTGTGTGAGAATAACGATTAGTAGGCAACAATAAACAAGAGCTAACCTGATTCAGCTGACAATGTAACTTTTCACTCTTAATACTTCTATTAAGGGGAGTGTTTACCCAAAAATTGAAAATTACTCACCACTGACTTTGAGTTTGACTTCCACTGCTAAAAAGTTCCAGTTTTTTTGTTGTTGAACCCAAAAGAAGAAATTTTGAAGAATATTGGAAACCTGTAAGTATTGACTTTCATATTGTTTGTTTTTGCTACTATGGATGTCAATGGTTACCGGTTTCTATCTTTCTTCAAAATATCTTCATCTAAGTTAAGTAGAAAAAAGATTGAGGTTTGAGGTAAATATAATTTAGATTTTTTGGGTGAACTATCCCTTTAAGTATGCATTTTGTACTTAAAATATACATTTGTTTTAAAATAATAATTATCCAAAAATACAATTATGATGTTCATCATTCATTTTCTTGTCAGCTAAGTCCCTTTATTAATCAGGGGTCGCCACAGCGGAATGAATCGCCAACTTATCCAGCATTTTTTTACGCAGTGGATGCCCTTCCAGCCGCAACCCATCTCTGGGAAACACACACACTCATGCATTACGGACAATTTAGCCTACCCAATTCACCTGTACCGCACGTCTTTGGACTGTGGGGGAAACCGGAGCACCCGGAGGAAAGCAGGGAGAACATGCAAACTCCACACAGAAACGCCAACTGAGCCGAGGCTCGAACCAGCGACCCGGCGACCTTCTTGCTGTGAGGCGACAGCACTACCTACTGCGCCACTGCTTCGCCCCACATTATGATGTATTTATTCTATTTGAGTTCATTTGAATCTATTTCTGTCTTCGAGTTGTTAACATTTACCTACATTTTTCATTTTCAATGACTAGCTTTTTTTTAAGCCACCATCAAAACCGCGCATGCACATTTACTCCTGTTTAATTAGCAACATCTTCACCAACAATTTTAATTAAATTTAACCTCATTTTTCAATGTTTTTTTTATTTATAAGTGTTAGTAATATTGTTGTTAGTAACCTACGTTTTTCCATTTCCAATGACTATACGTACAAAACACTTTCACGCCACTTTGCAGTATAGAACAAAACAATGCTTGTACACATACTCCTATAGTAACATCTTGACTAAATCATTTTAATCAAATTTCTCAATGTTTTCATTTTATTTATCATTGTTAAGTCCCGTGCACACGCTTTTTGCTTGCGTTTTCTGTTGACCTTTAACGCCTTGTGACTAAATAAAGAACGCTAATGTGTTTGTGCAAACCAGCGCTCAAAACGCCAGGCGTAAAATCATCATTTTTAAACGCCTCATGCTCGTTTTTTTGTTTTGATGCGCCGCGTCAAAACTTTCTCTACCAATCTGATCGACACTTTTCCTCACGTCCACTGAGATGCTGAAATTACAGTTAATAGCACTTGGAGGCGCTCAAGCACAAAACTGTCAATGCGAGAACACATTGAAGAAGATGCCCAGAGGCGGCATGAACGTGGAGCAGTTTATTGCACTGGTGAACAATAATCATTTCTTCATCGCAAAAGCTGAACCATCCATGCTTGTTCAAATCACCAGTAACTTTAACATCAAGCGTGTCAACTTTCTCTTTTTCTTCTTCTTCTGTGTTACAAGAGGGTGTCGGAAGCTTAAAGTTTGTAGCGTCATTTAACATCAAGGAATGATTTTGCATACTCTTATGCTCGATGCCAGTGAAAATTGCTAAGGTTTGAATCCAGAAAATGAAAAGCGTTCTGGTGTGCACGAGCCTTTAGTCGTGTTGTTGTTAGCAGGCTAACCTACATTTTCCATTTCGATTGACTACAGTTTCATTTAAACCACCATGCAGTAGGCTACATACAGTACGAATCAAAACAACACATGCACATTTACTCCTAGTAGTCTTACATCTTGACCAACTATTTAAATTTATTTTAATCTAATTTCTCAATGTTTATGTTTTATTCATAATTGTTAGTCATGTTGTTGTTAGTAACCTACGTTTTTTTTTTTTTTTATTTCCAATGACTATACAGAATACTTTGAAGCCACCATGCAGTATGTGCATGCGTTGTTTTGTTGTGTGGCCTATTTACTCGTTTAACTAGCAACCTCTTGACCAACAATGTAAATTAATTTTAATGCAATTTCTCAATGTTTTTATTTTATTCATGATTGTTAGTGTTGTTGTTAGTAAACTACGCTTTTTCATTCCCAATGATTACACAAAATACTTTCACACCCCCATGCAGTATACGGATCAAAACAACGCATGCACATTTACTCCTAGCAACACCTTAACAATTTAAGCTCATTTTAATCTAATTTCTTAATGTTTTATTTGTAATTGTTTGTCATGTTGCTGTTAGTAGGCTAACCTACGTTTTTCATTTCGATTAACTACACTTTCAAGCCACCATGCAGTAGGCTACATATGGATCAAAACAGTGCATGCACAATTAGGGTACTCATATAGTAGCCTAACATTATCTTGACTAACATTTTTAAATTAATTTTAAATTTAATCTCCTTTCTCAATGTTTTCGTTTTGTTCATAATTGGTAGTCATGTTGTTGTTAGTAACCTACGTTTTTCCATTTCCAATGACTATACAAAATACTTTCCCGGCACCATGCAGTATAGGTTACATACGGATCAAAACAACACATGCACATTTACTCCTATAGTAACAACTTGACTAAATAATTTTAATCTCATTTCTCAACGTTTTCGTTTTATTTATAATTGTTAGTCGTGTTATTGTTATTAAGCTAACCTACGTTTATCATTACAATTGATTAAACATTTCGATTTCGATTGACTATACTTTAAAGCCACCATGCAGTAGGCTACATACAGATCAAAACAACACATGCACATTTACTCAGGAAAGAAAGAAAGAAAGAAAGAAAGAAAGAAAGAAAGAAAGAAAGAAAGAAAGAAAGAAAGAAAGAAAGAAAGAAAGAAAGAAAGAAAGAAAGAAAGAAGCGTTATTGCCAGGTATGTTCACGCATACGAGGAATTTGTTTTTGTGACAAAGCTTCTACAGTCCAACAGAATGACAGAGACAAGAAAAAAAACTGATAATAAATATATTAATTAAAAACAGAAGTATTAACTAGTAGTACTGCTATAGTAGCCTAACATCTTGACCAGCTATTTAAATTAAGTTAAATTGAAATAGTTTTATTTATAATTGTTAGTTGTGCTGTTGTTAGTAACCTACCTTTCCAACGACTATTCAAATTACTCAGCCACAATGCAGTACATAGGCTACACATCCAAACAACCCATGCGCATTTTATTTGTTTAACTATACATTTTGACTAACTATTTAAATGTGTTTTAATTCAACTTCTTAATGTTTTTGTTTTATTTGTAATTGTTACTTGTGTTGTTGTTACCCTACGTTTTTCATTTCCAATGACTTCCAAGCCACCATGCAGTATGCATACGTATCAAAACAACGTATGCACATTTACTCAAGTGTTTAACTAGCATCATCTGGACCAACAACTAAAATTCATTTTGATCCAATTTCTTAAATGTTTTCATTTTTTTATATAATTGTTAGTCGTGTTGTTATTAACCTACGTTTTTCATTTTCAACTATACATAGCCTACTTAAGCCACCATGCAGTATGCATACGTATCAAAACAACGTAAGCACATTGACTAGTGTTTAACTAGCCCCATCTTCCAACAACTTAAATTCGTTTTAATTTAATTTCTCAATGTTTTCGTTTCATTCACAATTGTTAGTCGTGCTGTTGTTAATAACCTACGTTTTTTTCCATTTCAGTGACTACACAAAGTACTTTCACGCCACCATCAAAAACATAGCTTACGTGTTGTATGCATACAAATATAGTATAGATATCAAAACAACGCATGCACATTTACTCGTGTTTAACGTCTTGTGACATCTAAACGTGTAACATCATAACAATAAAGCTGCAGGTAAAGGCTACTGACCGTACCTTCCACTGACGCGTTTACCCAGTGCGTGAACTTCAGCGTTTCCAACACTTAAGATGTTGAGCAGCCCTGCGGGTTTGTTAGTCCAGATCTCCCATGTTTGGGCTCTTCTTCAGACTCATACCGGCGACGATGATGATGATGATGATGCTGATGATGAGGATGTTAGTGATGTTGCGCTACAGCGGGTGAGAGCAGCGACGCAGCAGCATCATTTAAGCATCATTTCACCTCGAGGAAACAAAAGAGACCCAGCCAATCCTCACACGGCGTTGGGGAACTTGTGAAATATTAATCGAAACGCAATCGCGTGCTGCAGGACGAAGGCAATGAATCCGCTTTGAGTGCGCTGTGATTAAAATGGAGGCGATGCGACTGTCAGGATGGATGAGAAAGACTGGAGAGAGAAGCGGCGTCGGCGTGATTCACCGGCTCTGCGCAGGTGTTCTTGTGTGTGTGTTTGTGTGTGTGTGTGTGTGTGAGAGAGAGAGAGAGAGACAGAGAGAGAGAGAGGAGGCAGAAGCGTGGAGAATTGGGCAATTAGAGGTGGGATGGAGAAGGGGGAGAGGGGAGGAGAAGAGGGGGTGGAGATGAGGTCAGTGTCATAAAAATATCTCACACAATAAACAATGATAGAAAAAAGACAATGATTTATCACTTTAAATATATCGAACATATTTCATACATTTAATATATTTAATATATTAAATCTTGTATCTGGAAGGGCCATATGTCAGAGTAGCTGGCGGTTCATTCCGCTGTGGCGAGCCCTGATAAATCAAGGACTAAGCTTAAGAAGAATGAAAGAAATGTATGAAACATTTTCCGACATGCAATATTTTTCTTTTATATTAAAATTTTAATGTAACTATGCGTGTTTATAAATAGTTTTATTAGTTAATCATTTATAAGTCTATATTTTATTCATTTTATATGCTCTGTTTAGAAAAAAAGATTCCAAATGGGAGATGCCCCATAGAAAAAACATGTGTTTTGCATTTAAAAATAGGTTACATAAAGAACTTTTAAGCAAAGACTTTTAAAAAATAACCCTTTTTGCCTGTAAAAAAATTATAATATAATATTTATAATAAAATATTTAGATTTTCATATAAGAATCTTTTTTACACTGTAAAAAATCTGTAAATTAGCAGTTTTCCATATTTTGTGATTGATGTTTTTATTTATTTTCCCCTATTTATTCATGCTTTTAAATTGCATTATTGGACCTCGATCTTCCAATAATGTTTAACCCTGAACAATTAACAAAAAAGAGACTTTTATTAACATTTTTAAGAGTTTAAAGTGATATATTGTCTGAGTTGGTGTAGTAAATCATGGTACAAACACTTTGTAATTAACTGCCATTTTACAGACTTATTTCTCTAAATATTATTTTTATATATTACATTATACTAAGACGTCAAAAGTCACTTTTTCACAATCACCAGTAATCCAGCCTGTGCAGATTGCTGTTAATCATACAGTATTGCACTGAACTATAAATCCGCAATTTCATGGACCACAAGATCCAGTCATGCACCACACACTCACAGCAGTTCCTAATCCTGACTGATTGCATACACACAGTTGGAGGATTGTCAAAGACTGATTATAGACTATTTAAGCAGTACAGACACGCACACTTGCTGAGTCTTGTTAAAATGAACATTACGATGTGTTTTCCCTGCCTTGCCTTACGTGTTTTTGAACCTTGCTTTGTTTTGTTTGTTTTACCTTGTCTGCTGCCTGCCTTTCGACCACTAGTCTGTTATTTTGAGTAAGAATTTGGATTTGCCTGTGTACATTTCTTTGCCCCTGTGTTGACCGTTGCTTGCCTGACCATTCTGCTAAATAAACTTGCATTTGGATCCGCACTCCCTTTGTCAGCATCACTTCACACACTTTGTTAAACTGCATTTTATGCATAATGCCCATAATCTAATTCATTCATAACTCATAATTTCCTTTAGCTAAGTTACTTTATTGATTGGGGGTCACCACAGCGGAATGAACTGCCAACTTTTCCAGCATATGTTTTACACAACGGATGCCCTTCCAGCCACAACCCAGTACTGGGACACTTATACACACTGATTCACACACACAAAAACACACTTATACACTACGTCCAATTTAGTCTACCCAATTCACCTTTAGCGAAGGTCTTTAGACTGTGGGGGAAATCGGAGCACCCGGAGGAAACCCACGTCAACATGGAGTGACAGGGACAACATGGAGACTCCACACAAAAATGACAACTGACCCAACCAGGATTCGAACCAGCAACCTTCTTGCTGCAAGGTGACGTATAATGCAATTCATAATTGTAAATAAACAGAAAGCATGTCACAAAATATGGAAACGGATAATTCACAGATATTTTTTACAGTGTAGATTGAAAAGGTTGTATGATTGATAAGAGTTCTGTTGAACTTTTGATATATTTATAGAACCTTTCATTTTTAATCTCTAAAGAAAAAGGAATTTATTTTAAGTACTTTTGTGTCTTTATTTTTTATTAGAAAAATGTTTAAACTAACAGCAGATTAATCAATCTTTTTCATTTGTATGATACCATATATTACCCAGACATACTTATTCTTTTTTACTGTGTTGCATACTTTTTATAAGGAACCGCTAACAAGAGGGAAATAGCAAATTAAGAATCAATAAAGTACGGGAGGGCCTTGCTCCAGACAGTTGTCTAATAAGAAGTCTAGACATAATAAAAGGATCATGATGCTTGTAGAAGTTATGAAATATATTGAAGATGCACTTACATGTTCAGTTTTGATATGCAGAGAAGGGTTGCAGAAAGAGGAAGTATGTCTTGGTGCAACACTCAAAGGACTGCAGAATGACTGGTTAGTGACGTTACACCAAAACTCCTCCTGTCAATATCAGTTGTGTATATATGCTGGAGTCAAGGAAATGTGACTTGCGAACCTCTTGAATGTAATTCTTGTATTGCATTGGGTAACATAACCCAGAGCTTTGTCATCGAATTATTCATTTGTATCTATTAAATTACAAATCATTTTGGCATTGAAGAAAACACTCTCCTGACCTTTATTTATTGAACACGCATGAAATTGGGTTGATATTCCAACATGTCAATTTAAGCAAAAACATACTAAAGGACAGTCATTTTCATGTTTATGACACAGCAAGCCTTGATGCCTTAATGATTTATATTTACCATAATTTACAAAAATTACATAGAAAAATAAAAGTATTTAAGCCATAAAATTGTATGCTTTTGCCAAAAGTCGTTGATGTTAGTGTAAACGCAAAGTTTAAAGTATAAAAACCATTTAATGACACCCAAATAAAATAGAAACTGTAACTGTTCAAATGTGCGGTGTTATTTATTTTTTAACACAAGACTGCATGATATTACTTCTCTTACATGGGAAGAATTTCTTTGAAAGGGAAACGGTTTGGCATCAAAATTAAAGGCAATCGATGCAAGCATGAGGGCTGCATTTTCATTCATTCATTTTCGGTTTAGTCCCTTTATTTATCAGCGGTCGCCACTGCGGAATGAACTGTCAACATATCCAGCGTTTGTATTACACAGCGGATGCCCTTCCAGCTGCAACACATTACCAGGAAACACCCATACACACTCATTCACACAAATAAATCAAGGCCAATTTAGTTTATCCAATTCACCAATAGCGCATGTCTTTGGACTGTGGGGAAATCGGAGCACCCAGAGGAAACCCACAGCAACACGGGAGAAAACCTGCAAACTCCACACAGAAATGCCAACTGGCCCAGTGACCTTCTTGCTGTGAAGCAACGTTGCAAACTATTGAGCTACTGATCGATCAGCAGGACCAAAACCATCTGTTTTATATATGTTTTAAAAAAATATATATTTGCCATGAAGAAATTTATCTGAGAAAAACTCCATCCCATGATCAGCAACTTGATAATCGGATTTGCCATTTAAAAGTGTAAAGCTTTATATATTTTATATCAAACTGTACTTGATAATTACAATGTTAATGATGCAATGTCAATTAAATGAAATTTGGTAGCTAATTAGAAAGTAATGGTGTGTGCTCGGTACAGATCTACAAGAAACATGATTAATAAATGATAACTATTTTAGTGGTTTGTCCTGCTGTTTCACAGAATATAAAAGAGTACATCCTGCCCTCTTCTGGCGTTATCCTCAATCTTTTCTGAAAATGACGATAAGAACATTAAAACATGAATAAAAGGCAAAAAAATACACTTACCGGCCACTTTATTAGGTACACCTTACTGGTATGGGGTTGGATGGACATTTTTTACACCTAATTCTGACTCTACCATCCGAATGTTGCTGCAGAAATCAAGACTCATCAGACCAGGCAACGTTTATCTTCTATTGTCCATTTTTTTAACCTGTGCCAATTGTAGCCTCAGTTTCCTGTTCTTAGTTGACAGGAGTGGCACCTGGTGTGGTCTTCTGCTGCTATTGTGCGTGAAAATCCCAGTAGATCAGCAGTTTCTGAAATACTCAGACCAGCCACGTCTGGCACCAACAACCATGCTACGTTCAAAGTCACTTAAATCATGGAAATCTTTCCCATTCTGATGCTTGTTTTGAACTGCAGCAGATCATCTTGACCATGTCTACATGCCTAAATACATTGAGTTGCTGCCATGTGATTGGCAAATTAGAAATTTGTGTTCACGAGCAGGTGGACAGGTGTACCTAATAAAGTGGCCGTTATATTTCATGTAAATACTGTGCACTGTTTGATATATCTGTAATTTTACATACAAGACACTACTAAGTTAAGTCATGCAAGACTAAACCATAGTTATTCCAAGGTATTCTTGTGTAAACAACATGAGTGCATCATATAATGCTATTTCTGATGGTAATAGATTTGCAGAGCTTCAACACAGGCTGCAGGTTCCATCTTAAGAATTCAAGAGCTGCTAAAAATACACCCCCTCTGTCACCACGCAAGACTCTTGGGTCGTTTCAGCTGTGCAATTAGTCTCTGTTAGCTGCTATTACATCATGTAAATGCAAATATGGCTGAACTGTTGTATCTCTCTTTTCAATGACATCCACAGTCTAATAATCAATCCTGAAGACAGAAACAGAGACGCAGAGTTGAGGAGCCTTGACATGTGCAAATAAAAAAAAGGATATTGTCTCTTTTCATGCACCATCACAAATTACTGAATGTAAGAAATCTATATACTTTATAAAAATATATACTTAGAAAACCAAAACGATCTCTTGACAGTTTGTAACTTTTGGATTTAGTGGCTATTTCGTACAGTCTCATGCTTACAATTTAGTATGATTTTCTCATCTTCCAATGACGGGTGAGTTTAGGGATAAGGTTGATGCCACGCCTCCTTTTTAAATCGTACATTTTGGTATGACTGAACTCATACGAATTCGTACAAATTAGCCATTAAACTGACAAAACGTAAAACACTTACATTTCCTCATGAAAACAGGCTGAGAAAACCCTTTCAACCCTAGAAAAAAATACTAATTATCTCACAAGGAAACATTTTACGTTTTGTCAGT